CACCCCTTCTTCTGATAGAGATGAACTTTACAAAATGTTCCTGAATCATAAAATGAAGGAAAGGTGCTTTCCGAGATAATGCCCTGTCAGCAGTTCTCTCTGTGTTTTCATTCGTCTACTTGAAATTGTGGAAATTCTCTTTAGAAAAGCCCATGCATGTGCAAGGGAAAAAAAGTAATAAAAATCCCCCATAATTGTTTGTCAGCTGAATGGACAGTTCAACAGGCAAGTTTTATATTTCATAGAAGATTAAGTATAATCCTTTTTAGAAAAAAGGATGTGGGGATCTCACAAGGTTAAATGATCTGGAAATCTCCTCGCATGAACAAGTTCTCTAGACAGATTTTTTTTTTTTTTTAATTCTAGTCAGGCTGGAAATACCCAGAGGAAAACCTCAAGCCATTTGGCTCCTTCGATCTGGCTGGAATCGAAAGCTAACCAATGCAGTTTTATAAAAGTGAAAAATAAAGGCTAGAAAAAATGTATTGAATATTCTGAGCCTTAGAAAAACTTGGTTTGGTTCAAAGTTACGTCAAACTCTTATTTTAGCCAAACTAATTCCCTTGAATTTGAAGATATAGCACAGTAGCATGTAATGTATTATTCTAGTATTCCTAGAACAAGAACTTTTGACTTTAGTATGTAGCTTGTCTGCTTTGTAGAACACCTGCTGCCGTGTGTGTGTGTGTGTGTGTGTGTGTCACAACTCATCTGAGTAGCAATAGCTGTCCCATTCTGAAAGATTTTGGTGCAGACAAGTTGCACATATAGGGAAGGAGACTTATTCTAGATCAATTTATAGAGGTGTTGCAATATGAGTTAAAACCTCACTCATTCTTTTTTAAATATCTTTTCAGGTGCCACAGCTTGACAGCCATGTTGGTGTAAGTCCCATTTTCAGTGCACTGTTTTGTAATGCTGCATGGAACCTAATGTATCTGTCTGTCTCCATAGTTTTTAAATAGTTCTAAAATCCATAAAGCCTCTAGCTTAGGTCCTGTATAGCCCTCATCACTGTAGACATTCCTAGCTTTTAATGTATTTATCCTCATCCCACCCAGTGAAGTAGGGCAGTGCTATTACGCCCATTTTACAAATGGGAGTGAACAGAACCACAGGCAGAGTATGTGACTTTCCCAAGGTCACACAGGAAGCTGGTGGCAGAGTAAAGAATTTAATCTGGATGTCCGGGGTTCTATGCTAGCACTCCAACCACTGCATCATCCTTCCCTCTCTTGCATCCCCATATTCAGTGTTCTGTACATGACTGGGGCATCCAATCCTTTCAATTTGATTCAGCTCTGTACAAATTGACCCTAATGCTCTGCACAATGCTGTCTAGAGTTGTGGATGTGTGGTATTCAATTTGACATGGTTGCATCTCACTCATTAGCAGTAAATAACCCATCCTACTCACCATAATCCTTAAGTAAAGTGTGGCAAGCAGAAGTACAGGAAAATATCAGGAAAAAACTACAGATAAAAATGAAGTCTTTTATCATGTTTTTGCAAAATTACGTGGTCAACTGTGAAAATAGCAATAGTATAAAAACATTTACAGTTAGAAGGAATTGTACTGAAATCAAATCCATATCACTCATTTATTTTAGTTTTTTTGCACTTAAGATTATATCGAAAATTGAACTAGATCACAGCTCTGGAACAGAAGTCTTAAAAAAACACATACGTCATTTAAGTAGAAATTGGTCATTACTATGCCAGCCTGTGTCCAGTGACCAGGTTCTTATTGAAACCATTACAGCATGTACAATATAGAAAGAAAATACTTAAACTTATAAAAGGAAGTTGTAGCCTACAAAATGAGTCCTCCTAATTAATGACTAATTTGAAAGTGATTTACTAGTGCAGCAATAAGTTTAGTATAAGCGACAGCAATTTGGGATTAAGTGTTACATTAGGAATCTTTGTCACACAGGTTAAACTTGGTTATCAGCCAAAGACACTCTTGGGTGGTTCTTCTTTAGGCTTCTCAAAGGCTGTTTCAACTCCTGTCCGATCTCGACTGAATATGGAAGGTGCCACAGAGCCCTCTTGTTCTTGAAAATGAAGAACAAAAGGAGACAATCAGTTAAAGATTTATGCCAATAATAGCTGTGCTGCTGGAACATGTACTTTTTCTGTGATGAAATACATCACCCCATTCAAATGCATGGAAATTCAGGACCTGTCAAGTGTACTCAGTGGTACAAAATGTGTGGGTTTGCACCACACACAGTTGGATTGCTCAACGCTATAGAATAGAGCTATTGTTCTGAATAATGTTGCAGACTCTCAAAGGCAGTGTAGTCCAATTGCCAAACATCTTGGCCAGTATCTTTAACTTTTCCCTCTGAGGAGAGATTCCCTGCAGCTACATTTGAAGCTTTCAAAACAGAGTTTTAAATTCGGAGTATGGGATTTCAAATTTAAACCCCATCTTTCCTCATGATCCCCCAATCCTAAAAAAAGTGACAAACCATGAGCACCAGGTGAGAGAGATTTCAATCAATCAGAAATTTCTCTTCTTTCTCCCTGTTTATGTCCTGTAGTCCAAGCACAGCTAATATATTCCCCTGACATCCCAGGCATCTCCCAACATAGGATCAAATGCTCTAGTCCTGACTCATTTTTAAACTCAATGCTTATTCAAGGAAGACACACAGACATTAATTAGGGAGTAAGAACGTGGTTATCCCATGTTCCGGAAGTCAAATCCATGGCAGTACTTCACAGCCTGTAATGCTCAGTCAGTATAGTCTGGAGGCAGAGGCTCACTTTGCTGCAGAGCCTTTCACCTCATAGGTGGAAGAAGGGTGGGAAGCAGACCAATTCCTGCCCTTCCTATCAGGTGATCCACACAACCAGGGCAAAATATATGAGCATTATCGCACCTGCATTTCAGCGGAGGGTTCTGCCAGCTTTACATTTATGTGCCTTAATGCATATACTGTACTCCTTGGAGACATGAATAAGCTCCATTTATTATTAGAAAAATTTCTTTTTGCTGTACACAGATGGAGACTGCCTGAATGAAACTAGTTTGGCTGTTCTTTAGAGAGCTTGCACTTCAGCTGGGATTATCAGTTAAATTCAAGTTTTACTTTGAAGATTGCTTTAGCATTTGTAGTACTGTAAACAGATAAGAGATTTACCACATTGCTTCATGACTTGGTAGGTTTTGGATTTAATTTGCTGGTTGGTGGAGAGCTTTCCTCTAGCCCCTTTGAGATCTTCCTCCTTCACTGGAGGACGCTTCTTTTTCACGGGGGCTGCCTAAAAATATTGACAGATGGGGAGATGTCAGTATTTCAAGTTACAGAACATATAGGAGACAAAGTTGCAACATATAGAACTGTTATCTAACACGTACTCCGTATTCCATCTATACCTACACTATATTGTACACACTAATGATCAGCGGCCTTGTACAGCACATACAGATAACAGTAGGCAGCTACATTGCCCACAGATGGCAAAGAAGAAAAAAATGTGCTACCAAAACATTCATCTTCCTGAACTAGATGTTGAAAACACTTGCCCTAGTAACCCGAGAACCATTTTTACATTATAATTATCTTGAGATGACGTAACTTTTGAAAGATGGAGTGGAAGTGGTTTATAATCATATATACCAAATTTTGCCTTGCGCCTAAAGACCAAACTGGTAGTTAAGGAACCTGAGTCTAGGTTTGGGAAGTAAAGAGGAGAAGAAATAGAGGAATCTAGATCTCGACTTACAAGTATGAAGACAAGT